GATCATTAAAATACAAACCTCATACAAGTACGCAGGCAAGAACACATTTGTCCGAACGCGTCCGTATGCCTGAAATCCAGATCGATTATAAAAATCTTGCATGATCTGGTTCAACAAATAATCACCACTCATTCTATCTGGTAGATGAAATATGGAAACAAACGATGGATGAACTAATAGAAGGAAATAAAAAGATATAAGCAAAAATTACAAAATAAAATAGATTTAAACAAAGAATAAATATAGATTACCTTCTTCCCATGGATATATTTGCATATCAGCAAGTTTCTCTTTTTGTAACCACGTACAGATTGCTTCAAGTTTGTTTGATGCAAATTTTGAAACAATGTTATTCTCAGCTTGTATAACCTCTAATCTGCCAGAAGATTCTTCAGCTAATCGCTTAAATAATTAAAGACTATATATCTCAATAATTAATAATAGGAATGTTACTTTTAAATATTTTTCTCATACCGCAAGATTCTCCACACAATCTTTATCATTATCTAATGCGATTATCCTTTTAGCGTTGGTATTATTAAGTAGAGCATGCGTAAGAAATCCTAAACCTTTATTATTATTATTATTATTATTATTTTAAGATATATTTTTGTTAAAATGAATTAATACTTAGGATACCGTTTATGATTCATTATTTATTATATCAACACATGCAGACCTGAAAATTTTGGTTAAAAACCAACCGGAATTTATTTCAATTACCGTAGCATTATTTGGAATATTAATCGCTTTTGCTGCACTAACTATATTCGTGTATATATGTGAACCTCGTGTTTAGCAGTAAATAGGATGAAAACAGCAAAGTTTCACAAACCTGCCATCTGTTTATCGATCAAAGATAAACGATATTTTCCTGCTGGAAGACGATTTAATAATTTGGGGGACCACATTTTAGCTTTAAAATTTAAAATGATCGTAAACTAACAAAAAGCTGATTTGTTACTGGCATAATTTCATGTGATAATTTATATAGAAATGTAATACAAAAAAAAAAAAAATAGATTGATTAATTCGTTTCAATCATGAAAAATAAAGTTATTCTTGATCAAACAATAAGGAATAGAAATATTCAGCATCATTTGAATGAACTTGAACGTGATAACTATGCAGAGGTACCTGAACTTGAAATTGTCTCTGGAACTATTACAAAACCAAGACGTACTTCCGAAGTTGATACTAGTCAAAGTAAGCCATTTGTTTGCTAATACTGTTAGATTTACGGCACTAAACATTCATTAATTTTTAGCTACGTTAAATAGATAGAAAAACAAAGGCAAGAAGTAAAAAACAACTTTTAAGTCAATTAACGGTTAAAAAAACCCTTAATGCGCTACTCGAAGAATCGGTAATAACCATTTTTAATGTGGAAATTTTAACCATTATTTCGACTTAATGTATGGGCGAGTTCCCCGGGTAACTTAGTTCCTTACAAAGTTACGATGATGAGTTAAAATATTTCAAATTGTTGAAGTTTTCAGCATAATAGAGCGTTTATTAATATTGTCACTATATTTTCTGACAAAAACATACCGATTTATGCTGAGATTTGGGAAATTTGGAACGATTTTATTATCGTTCGGGTGGCAAATATAATTATCACATATTTTAATCGAAGGCCATTATTTTTTTTATTTTTATACAGAGAATAGAGCAGCTTCCTCCTGATGTACCTACATATCTCACAGCTGTAGCAGGACCGTCTAGATACCCACCAAGAAAGTTTTGTTCAGTATGTGGATATTTGTCGAACTATAGTTGTAAAACTTGTGGGATGAAATATTGTAGTGTAAAATGCCTCGAAATTCACGAAGAGACGAGGTATTTGTGATAATTTACTTAAATGTTACTTGTTTATAAACCCTTTGTTAATTTTTTATTTATATGTATAGATGTATGAAATACACAGTGTGATATCTGGAATGAGAATACAAACCCTTTTTTTTTTTTTTTGTTTTTAGCAATTATCAATGTTTAGCCTTGTAAATAGAGAAACAAAAAAAAATTTTTATTATACATAAATACGTAGTGGCGCCTATGACATTTAATAGTAATTAATAATAATAATAATTCATAAATTTCTATTAAAACGAAGGATGTACAATTTATGAATATATGATGAAAATCACATTTAACTGATGAAGATAGTATGAAATTATATACGTGAACACCTTCCAATACACATACATATTTAGATTTTATTTTGAGTTTTAAGTACAATCGGAACTGTTAAAACGTTAAATATTTAGTTAGATTTTGTGTATTAATTAATTCACAAATAGTTCAAGAACAAATAATATTACCAATAATAATAGTCACTATGATAAGTGCTACGATCACAAGAATAATAGTCCATTTTGTGTCTTTCCACCACATTTTAGCACGAGTTTGTTTTGATCGGAGCTTAAAAACGTTAGAGGTCTCCTGTAACATTGCTAATAAAATAGAATTGAAATAAATAACATTGTCTAAAATGTAATCTATTGATCATAATCCTATTTTAAACAGAGATGTCACATAATCATATTGGACATTATAGTGGTTCCGTGTCATCTCATCGACCGACAACTTAGTTCACCGACAATTAATTTACAGATAAGCTTATTTTACTGACAGTTTATTACACCGGTAGCTTATTTCACCGAAATTTTCTTATTCTAAATCTGACCCAATGACAATGACCAGAATTACTTTATCGGTGAGATGAAGTGTTTGTGAAAGAACTTGTCTGTAAATTAATTGTCGGTGAATTAAGTTGTCGAAGTGATTGTCGATAAAATGAACCGTTATATTTATGTAGATAATTATTACGGATAATTAGATTGCTATCCAATAAAATTAGTAGACAATTGACATATGGGGTTTTTGCCTTGAAAATCAAGTTATGGTACATAGTAAATCATATGTCCCATATTTGATTTTCAAGGCAAAGACCCATATGTCCAATTATTTTTATAATGTTTTGACATTGTCCAATGTCTAATGGTCCAAAAAATTATTTGGACATGCTGGACAAATTGGACATAGTCCAAATGTCCAAAAGTCCAATTAAATTTATTTGGACATTGTCCAATGACAACTCTGATTTTAAAGAATATAAATACCCGTTTGTTCTTCCAAGTCACCCAATTTTTTTCCTCGGTTGGCCATATCAAAAAGTGACTTATGAATTTCACTCTGTGTACTGTCTATTTGTTCCTGTACATGTTGAATTTTCGTAGGACCCGATTCTTGAGAAGAGGGTCGGCCATATTCATATTTTTCGTTATTATCAGGTGAGACGGACCTACATATGTATGGTGAGAATACGTCCTTTAAATGCAAAAAGTAATATCAATACTTACATTGTTATTATACTGCTAAGACGGATAGAATAGATTCTCTTAACAGTTTCTTGAAAAAATTAAATATTCCCCAAAAATTATTATAAATCGTTATTTTCTTTTTTTTTATATGATAAATTTTTGGTTTCTTCGCTTGTAAGCACCGTTATGACATGAAGAACGTTAAGAGACGTGAACCAACCAAAGGTATCTAAAAGCCTCACCGCTGAACAATCAAAGGTTAAAAACCAAAGATTGTGTTTCATCCGGCATCAAATTCCGGTTTTTTATAAATTTCATAGACACAATTTTGTTAGCCGATCGATTGCACAAAATGGAAGCACCCGCACTATATATGAAATAATCGGAGCATACATCGGAGCACCGCATCAGTAAGATCAGTAAGTTGTGGCAAACTTGTCTATCTGCAGATCAGAAAATCGGGATCCGAGTGTGTATAAGCCTTCATGCTTTAGTTAAAAAACGAGGTCTATTTATATTATGTGATCTAATATTTGGTTGGTAATCGTGGGCTTAGAACAAGGCTGTGTTTGCCTTAATTAGATATACAATTAAAGTACTTGATCACCAACACTCGAAATAATCTCGATTATAAGCGTTTCTGCTAAGCAGATTTATCTTTTATACAATGTGTCAATTACCGTTACTGTTTTCGTAATCTTTGGGGCTTAAATCCTTGTTCACGGTAGCTCTTCTGAAATTACTGATAAAATTTTGTCTTTTCTTCCAATGATAGATTCTCTGCACATCTT